TAAGAACATCTGGGGACCCAAGGTTGGGAACCATTGATACAGAGGAACCAAATATTCCACTCTATTCAGCACTGGTTAGGTCTCATCTTGAGAACCGTGTCCACTTCTGGACACCAGACATTTAAGAAGGACGACAACAAACTGGAGCAAGTTCAGAGAAGGGCAACAAAGATGATCAGGGGATTGGAAACCAAGCCCTATGAGGAAAGGTTGAAAGAACTGAGCGTGTTTGGCCTTGAGAAAAGAAGACTGAGGGGAGATCTGAAAGCGCTTTTGAAATACTTGAAAGATAGTCATAAAGAGGAGGTGTGCGGTCATCCCAGAGCGCAGGACACGTAATTATGGGCTCAAGCTACAGGAAGCCAGATTTTGGCTGAATACCAGGAAAAGCATCTTAACTCTTAGAGCAGTAATGGCAATGGAACCAATGACCTCGGGAGGTGGCAAGCGCTCCAACGCTGGAGGCATTCAAGAAAAAATTGCATAACCTTCTGTCAGAACTGCTTTGATTTGGATTCCTGCTTGAACAAGGCGTTGGACTTCATGACCTTATAGGCCCCTTCCAACTCCATTATTCAATGATTCCATTAAATGGATTAAAAGGTTATATTTTCTCATAACCATTTCACCGTTGTAAACAATATGTACCCTTTTGAGTCACAGAAATGTCCATATCAAAAAATTTTATTTTGTGTGACCAGTAACCCTGCATGATGTTATATACAGCAGAGGCTGGGCCAAATCCAGTGCATTCTCATTCATACTGTATATACCCAAACATATCACACATGCATGGATATGTGTGCATGTGTGCATTATTCTCCATTAAGTCTTGTTTATACAAGTGGCTTACCCTATAGCAAGATAATCTGCCACTCAGAATTTTGTACCATTGCCAACAGAGACTCTTGGGGGCCTTTTAAAGGCAAACACATTTATTATGACATTGTGGATATGTTAACAATCTTTAGGATGTTAGAAAGCACATTCTTTGTTGTTTCTGCTGCAAGAGACCAACACAGCTACTCCCCTGGGATCTGTCAGAGGTTCGTGATAAATGAGATTTCATAACTGCATTCATCTAAAGAGGAGGTGTTTGACTACTTGTTAAGGGAGGTCATGGAGAAACGTGACCTCGTTGGTCCTCCTCAATTTCTCAGTGGCCTTTGATAACATTGACCATGGTATCCTCCTAGACAGGCTGTCAAGTTTGGGGATTGGTGGCTCACTGTTATGATGGCTCCAGTCCTTTCTCAATGGTGGAGTCCAGAAGGGATATTGTTTCAACCCCATGGGTTCTTAATTGTGGAGACCCACGGGGGTTGATAATCTGCCCCAATGCTCTTTAACATCCTTGTTGTGAGAGGTCATCTGGAGATCTGGAGTATGCTGTCATCAATATGCTGATGACACACCACTCTATATCTCATTTTCATCATCAGTGGAAGCTTTACAGACCCTGAAGCAGCTCTTGGCCTCGATTATGGGCTGAATGAGGGCTAACAGGTTGAAGCTGAATCTGGACAAGACAGAGATCCTATTGTTGGGAAGGGAGTCCATCCAGCTAGGAAGTATTTTGCTTGGTCTAGATGGGGTCACACTCCCTCTTAAGGACCCGATCTGCGACTTAGGGGTGTGTCTGAACTCTTCACAGAGAAGCAAATATCAGCTGTGGCCAGGTCTGCCTTTTTCCATCTGCACATTGTGTCCCATCCGAAACAGAAAATCTCTGACTGCACTGGTTCATGCGGTTGTAGTCTCTAGCATTGACTGTTGCAATGGTCTCTATGTGGGGCTGCCTTTGAAGACAATACAGAAACATGCCAGCAATGTGGAGATACAACCATGTTTCCACAATGTTGGCATGTCTGCATTGGCTTCCTATTTTCTTCCATGCCAAATTCAAAGTGCTAGTACTAACTTTTAAACCCCTTAATGGTTTGGGACCCCACCCTTCAGATTGTCAACTTGGGCTATCTAGCCTTTGTGTAGCAGCACAACATGATTTCAGCCAAGATATCAAATTATAATGAGGAGTAATAACAGTTCTAGTCATGGCCATGCCTTATGTAGCCGCCTAGAGTGGTCATAGCGACCAGATAGGCCGGATATAAATAAAATAAATAAATAATATTATGTAATGGTACTGTTGATGATGTTCAAACAATGAGATAAAAACAAATCTAAAAAGGGAAAAGAAAGGAATGGTAACAAAACCAAACAAAATTGTGTGTCCTTGTTAGAAATATAATTCCAAAGACAGAAAATGCCACATTGTGGGAAGTTCCCGAGCACACAGGACTGTTGTTGCTCCTCAGTATGGAGTATGCATTCAGCAACGCAATTGCTTCTCAAAGTAGACGTTTCACAATTGGTACTTTGATAGTCCCTTTTCCTCAATGAATTTGTTCAGTGCTTTTCGAAAGCTGACACTCTGCAGCAATGAATTCCGCCTGCTGGATTATATGTTGCACAAAACAGCAACAATGTCTTCATTATGTTCACAATTTAATACTACAGTATATCAAGTTCAATGCACAGCTTTCGAATTTTAGAATCTTGGCAGGCAAGAAAATAATGCGGAGTGGTCACTGGCTGCTCCTCACAGCAGTTGGGCTTGTACAGAACCTTTGCCCCCCACCTTTCTTAGTCCTATATCCAAAACCTATTACTGTACTCTGAAAATCTCTCCATAAATTAACATTTTTTTTGGACTTAACCTGTTAAAAGTACCTGTCTCAAATTATACAGCACACGTGTTAACAAGCTCAGTCATTTTATAAATCCATGCAATGCAGAGATTCAGAACTGAATCCAGCAGAGTACAACTTCGTAGCAGACCCAGGTTTTCAGCTGTGTAATGTGTGAACCAGCCCATTTGGTTTGATTTCAGCAGAACCATGTTGTACATAAAATACCTCACCCTGGGATGTATTAACCTGCCTCTCTTCCACCCACAAAAGATTGTTAGAAAGTTCCAAGCTCCTGATTTGTAATAGTGAACTCCGACTATGCTTTTCCTTCTGGTGAACAGGATTGACGGAGGTTTTCGTATTGTTGCCAAAGCCTGAGGAACCTGTTTGACCAGATACAACAATATGGGATAAAGGAACCCCATGACATCATTTTACAAGCAAAAAAAGATGAAACTGAAGCTATTAAGATTTTGGACACAGAATGGGAAGATGAGACTGATAAAACAATAATGGTGGAAGTTGAAGGCAGCAGGAAAAGAGGACCACCAAATATGAGACGGAAATATGACTCAATAAAGATCTTGAGTTTGCAAGGCTTAAGTAGGGCTCTTAATGAAAGAACCTTCTAGAGTTCATTCATTTATAAAGTCATTGATCAGTTGGAGGTAACTTGATGATGTTGTATAACAATTCCTAGATAGTCCTACGGTGGCAGAACCAGAAGGTGGGCGTTCAAATCCCCTCTGGGCCTCCCTGGTTGGGAGTTCGAATCCCCACTGGGCCTCCCTGACGGGGGCTGGGCTTGATGATCCACAGGATCCCATGCAATAATTATTATTACTTCATTATTAGGTGTCGATAGCTAGATTCTCGCCTACAGAAGACTTCTGGAGAACCCGAAAGCTTGCACTGTTGACGGCTTTCCAGTGGATCTGAAAGTGGAGGGTTGGCCAACCTGCGGGTTTTGGGAGTCCGCTTTGTTCTGCGGCGCAACCGGCGAAGGCGGCCACCTCTTCAAGGGAGGGGGGGATTTATTTTATTTATTTATTTATTTATTTGATTTGATTTGTATCCCGCCCACCTGGTCCACACGACCACTCTGAGCGGCTTCCAATACAATACAGTCAATTAATAAAAACACAAAATGACATAAATCTACAAATGAAAATGTCAAAAAACCAAGAAAATAAAATAAATGTCAATAAAGGAGAAATGAGAAGGGAGAAGGGAAGGGAGAAAAAACTTCTACAAATGAAAACGTGAAAAAAACCAAGAAAATAAAATAAAGGTCAATAAAGGAGAAATAAGAAGGGAGAAGGGAAGGGAGAAATACTTCAGGGGCTGAAAAGGTGGAAAGAGAGGCAACCGGAGAGGGGCCGATGGAGAGCCACAAGAACCTAAGAGGAGGCAAAATGGGGCAGCCGTGATCGATCGCCCGTCCCCCGCATCCTCCTCCTCCTCCTCCGCTCCCATCCGCCCATCATCTTCTCGGTGGTGACTCACAGAGAGACACAGAGCCCGGCTCAGTTCCTGGGCGTGGCCCGAGCGGCGGAGGGAAGTTGGTGGAAGTTGCGAGCGAGTCTTTTTTGGCTCGAACGCCTCTCGCCTGCGCGGGTCCCCCCCCTTCCCTCCTGCTCCCACCCCATTGAAACCGCGCTTTCTGGTTGCAACCCCCTCGGGAAGAGTGCTTGCCAGAGGTCTTCTTTCCCCGCTCCCACCGGATCCCGTCATGGCCGAAGAACAGCCTCAGGTCGAACTGTTTGTAAAGGTAAGGATGTGGGGTGGGATCCCGGGATCCCCTTCTTCTCTCCAGTGGGGGGGGTCTGTGTTGTCTGGTGCGCGTTTCCCCCTCCTTGGAGGGAATCGGAGGAGTTGGAAACTTTTCGTTTGTTTGTTTTGGCGCGAAAAAGGGAGAAACGGTCTCTTTTTGTGTGTGTGTGTGTGTTGCCTGAATTGCTGATTCTCTCTCCCCCCCTTAAAAAAAACACATACACGATTTTCAGTTTTTGGAGAAAAGAAACAGCAGGTCTTTCGGATCTTCTCCCCCCCCCCCCCCTTTTTTGGACTTCCTCTTTGGCGAAGAGCGAATGAGAGTCTGAAAGAAAGCCAAAAGAGACGAGTTAGGAGAAAGACCTTTAAAAGTGTGTTTTTTTTGGTGGTTTTTTTTGTGTGGTTGTAGCCTTTCCGTCTTAATAGACTGGACCTAAACTTGGACTTCAACCCTGTACCCGTTGAATCTGGGAGCTCCATGGGACTTACTTTGAGTAGGCACGTATAGGTTAGAGCTGACTTTCGTTAGATCACTAGGGCTGAGGATAGTAGTAACTAACATTTCCCATGAAACCAGGGCCTAAACATGGACCAACCAAATCTGGATCCAGCCTAGTATTTTTTTCCCTCTCCTTTCTTGACCCCCATCTTCCAATCCAACCTGATGCTTTTCTTGCTTTATAAATGAGAATACGTATGCAAAGAGGGTTACACCCAGAAAAGCAAAAAATAAAAATAAAAATGTGCAGGGTCTCAAAAAAGCAAATATGCTTTTAAAATAATTGGCCAAGTGGTCCTTATTTGCTAAAGTTTTTTTTTGTGGCAGCTTAAATATTTTTTTCCCTTTCTTTACTGTTTGTTTACTCACTGGCGTGGTTGTTGATAGTAGAGAAACTTTAGTCCACATCTCTCCTTTTGGTTATTTAAAAATAAAAAACCCTTTCTCTGATTCCAGTCCTCTGTGGGAATAGAAGTGGTGATTGTTAGGATAAATGTGCATTAAAATTCTCCATCCTAGTGCTCTGAAGCCATCTTGGACTATAGTGCCCCTCATCCTTGAGTCCATATGTCCATTGTACACATCTGGAGGGCATCGGTAAAAGCCTTTTGGCCTTTAGGGTGGCGTGTCTGCCACCCTCGGTTATCTTTCAGACTGCGGCTCCTAGAAATCACCATTAGAAATCTGCCAAAGGTAGTTTAAAAAAGTTTTCCCCCCTCCCACAATTTCTTTATGGTAGTGGGGCTGAAAGAGAGAGCTTACAAGTAAGTGTCCAGGGAACTGTTGCATCAGTCATATTTTTCAAATTGCCTGCTTCATTCCGCCATTAGGGAAATGCAGAAGTTGTAGTTCAAAAAACAACAGCAGCAACAAAACAAAACACAAACCTGTGCAGATTTGTTTTGCAGGCAATTGTAGGTGCACATTCATCTCTTTCTACCTTGTCGTCTTTCTACCTCGTGGCTTCTCCCTTCACCATCCATGTTCGGAGGTTGACTTCAGTCCACACACCATTCTTGGTCAGATCGTGCTGAGGGTCGGAAGGCTCTCCAAGAGGGTCACTGTCCCTCAGTTCCTCATAGACTTGATCCAGTTCTACTGAACCAATCCAGGCCCAACAGTTACCGGTAATGTGCAAGAAAGTATCCAGGGAGAATGCTCAAAGTCCAAGGAAGTTTCAACCCACGCACCGCCCGGCAACATTTCTTTCCATTCACGAGATCTCTTGCTTGAGGTGAGGGCAGGCCAGGCAGGGACAACAACGAGGTGCCTGGGCTGAGCCCTAGTTTTCCTTCCTCTGAGTGGCAGACAAGAATGATTTTAAAAAAGAAAGAGAAAATATATTTTGAAGAGGGTTGCTTTTTTTTTGAGTGTGTGTGAGATTGGACTACAACTCCCAGAATCGCTCATTGTTTGTGGGGAGAATGATAATTCTTGTATATATGCATGACAGTAGGTGCCTGTCCTCAACTCATTTCTGAGCCTTAAGTGTAAGATGATAGTGCATGGAAACTCTTGGGTGGGTCCAAAGGTGAAGAGAGTTTATCAGGCCCTTGTGTGGCCTCTGTGAACCTGAGAGGTCTAGTTGAGTGGCTTTAATAGGAGGAGGAGGAGGCAGAGCATACTCCTGTTTTCTTCATTTTTCACCACTGAACATACCTGATCGGGACTAACTTCAGAGGCTGGCCAAGCAGGGTCACGCCTGGTTCATAGCTGGGTGGGAGACCCAGGGGTATACTAGCGTGAAAGTTTTCCTAGAACCTAGTCAAGGTTGATGCTATTGAGCTAGATCAGGGGTCTCCAAACTTTTCAGCCCGAGGGCCGCATCATATATTTTACACATTTTGGGGGGCCGAAGGACAGGCACACATGCATGCACGCATGGGATGAAGGGAACAGACCTGAGCCTGTGGCGTTCACTGGGCCAGATAAAAAGGCAAGGCGGGGTGGATGTGGCCCACAGGCTATAGTTTGGAGACCCCTGAGCTAGATGGACAAATGATTTGATGTGGCATAAGGAAATGTCTTCTCTTCATCCTTTCACAGCTTATGGGGCTCAACCATCAGTCAGCAGTTGGGTAGGGTTTTACTTCCTTTCCTTTCCATGCCACTTGGGCCACCATATGACTCCAACTTTGTCCCTTATACCTGTTGTGCTCCTGGATTCCTTCTGCTGCCCAGTGGCCTGACCTCCTTGGTGATTTTGGAGGTGGTCCAACTTTTGCCAAACAGGAGGTATTGTTCCAGTGACATCTTCTGCTTCTTCCTGTCTGGTTGTCTTGCTGCTGCCCAGCCCATTTGTTTCCTCATTACCATGTGATCCTTAATAACTCACTTGCATCCTGATTTCAGACTTGAAAGTATCCCTCATTCATTTCTGAGGATTTGCTTCTGCCTGTTCTTAAAGTGCCAAAGTAATGCATCTCTCTCTCTCCCCCCCCCACCCTTCTCTTCTTCCTTCTAAAGAAGCATGGAAAACTTGTTAACCTTCAGAGTGTTAAAGAGTTCCTTAAAGCAAGGGTGGACAACTTTAACCCTCCTGTTGGTCTTCAATTGCTGACAGCCCCTAGCCTGTGATTGTGGGAATTCTAACCCAGAACATCTGGAAGGTCAGAGTGTGTCCCACACTTACCTTAGTACAGTGGTTCCCATACTTGGGTGTGCAGATGTTCTTAGACTAAAATTCCCAGAAGCCTTCACCACTCTCTGTGTTGGCCAGGATTCCTGGGAATTGTAGTCCGAGAACATCTAGGAACCCATGGTTGGGAAGCACTGCCTTAGTAGCTGAAGCAATAAATTAACCAAACCACACAGAAACATATCGTCTTTTATGTTTTCCTAGTTATATTTCATAACATGCAGTCTTTATACCAACTGGTGATGGGATGCTGATTATAGGTTAGAGGTCACACACCATGGCTTATGGAGTGTGGATTTTTCTACATGATGGTCTTGCTCTGTGATTTGCCTTCAGCGATAGTGGAGGATCTTTGCACTGATGACCTTAAAGTTACTTGCCTCCGTTTTCCCGTCTTGTCTAGGAGGCCTACTCCAGGAGCTGTGCTATTGTGTTTCCCTGGCTGGTATGTCATTTGCTGCCTTCTGACCCACCAGCCAAATTGGCCTCTTATCTGTGCCTTGAACACCATCTTGAGGAACGCTGGTTTAAAAACAACCGTTTTCTGAATTACTGAATCTTCTCCTTTCAAGCTTTCTTGTGTTTGCTTTGTTTTGCTTGTGCCTCTGTCTTTCCCTCCTATTTCTTTCCCCTCCAATGTGGGGCTTGCAAGCAGGAAAGAGAACTAAAATTGTTTTCATTTCCCCCTATATGGAAAATACTTCGCCTCCCCCCATCTTCCTCTGCATATTTTTGCAACGGTTTCTCCATCTGTTGGAGCCGGTTGCTTTGTGATCACAATGATCTATCTGAGTTAAATCAAATGGATTTAAATCATGATTTCAATTTTTAAAAAATTGATTTTTAATCTAAATTGTAAAAAAAAAAATCCAATTTTTTAAAATTGAAATCATGATTTAAATCCATTTGGTTTCACTCAAATCCACCCTGTTTGAGAAGGTGAACTGATAGCACAAGTATCTGTGAGGAAGAAATAAAAAAAATACATCTGCTGACTTCCTGAATGTGCTTTCTTTACTCTTCATTTGTGATCGTCCTCTGGGACATGGTTACATGCAAATAGGCGTGACAGGGAAATAATTCTGGGGTTGGTTGTTGTGGGTTTTTCTGGGGTTGTCCGTGTTCTCAGTTGTGTAGTCCTTAAACCTGAGAGCTGAATAGGCGTGACAGGGAAATAATTCTGGGGTTGGTTGTTGTAGGTTTTTCTGGGGTTGTCCATGTTCTCAGTTGTGTAGTCCTTTTCTTAAACCTGAGAGCTAGGTTGAATAAGTAATGCTGGAGGTTTCACTACATCTGTGTCCGTTGATAAAGGTAACATGCTTACCCCCCTGTGATGGTGGGATCTCTTGGCCTTATTTTGTGTGAGTTTTCAGCTCATGGATGGCCAGTTTATAATACAGGGATCCGGCACTTGTGGCATCTCCAGATGTGAGGATGAGGGCACCGGACTAGGGTGTGGTCGGTGTGGTTCGAATAAAGGCCTGTGCCGCCTTTCACCTTAGTCACTGCTTTTAGATTTTTGATGGAGCCAGAGCCATTTTGAGGTTTGGGAATACAGTATTAATTTTTGGACTGTCACGCCTTGTGTACTCTGGCTGAGGATTCTGGGAGTCCCAGTAAAGAAAATAATGTTTCCAGGTCCTGAAAAAGGGGGGAAAAAAAAGATTCCACTTCCTGTCTAGCCCATGTTGTTTGTCTAAAGATTTCCTTTCTTCATCCTCTTTTCCCCGAGACGCCATCTTGTTGAAGTTGCCCAAGCTTAAATTCTGGATTTTGTGTGTTGTTGGGGGGGGGATATGCTTTCTCCCTGTGCTGTGACTCCCTCCCCTTGAGGCAAACTTGCCACATGCAGGATGGCCAT